GTTAACGGTGAAAATTAACAGAAGGACTAACGGTGTGCATTTGTTAGAGTTGAGGGATTAAAAAAGTGCAAAAAATTGTTGAGGGATCAAAAATGTGCATTTCTTAAAGTTAAGGGATCAAATTTAGCATTTAACCTTTTTTGTTTAAGTCATAAATATTTTTTTATATATTCAATATGAGATTTTTTTTACAAATGTCGGCTTAATATGAATGTTAGGCTTATTATGTGACTTATATTCTCTTTTACATAAAAATTGGGCTTGGATTCTATCAAGTGAGCTAACAACAAGTTTATCAAGAATGAAGTTTGAGTTCTAATATCATGTAAAAATTGTACATGTGTGAGTTTTAATACAATACTTACACTTACAAAGAATTGTGTTTTTATTTCATTCTTTCATTTAGGGTGTCCCTAATCATTTTTGTGCACCTTAAGAGTAATATCTTTTTGAGTAATCTTAAAAGTGTATCTCGCACATCGACTAATACATTTAAATAAATTAATTTTTTTATCTACTAGTTTTAAGGCTTGAATCCAAAATGTGACCTACAAATTAATAGTTATTTATTAGTGAATCCAACTCTTAAGGTTAACTTACAAAGAAATTTAATTTTTATACACAGAGCCAATATAAGGTGTGACTGCTGAAATTAATGGATAAAAACTTTAGTTAAAGATATGGCTTGCTATATACTCCTTTGTCCTAAAATAAATTTATTTTTTATTCAAAATTAATTGACATTTTCTCTAAGTCTTTAAGTAAATAAATATTTTTTCCTGCTTTAACCCTATTATTATTTTTTATTTTAATTATTATCCTATAACAAAAAAAATCTCTCTTTATCTTTTATTTGTAATTTTTAAGAATAAAATAAGTAAATATATAAATTATTTTCAAATTTTTACTAATTTAGAAAACAAGTCAAAAAAACCAAACAGATTTTAGGGACCTGCTTGGTTACAAAGTTTCTCCGTTAAGTTATTTTACGGAGGATAAAGAATTTCTCCGTTAAGTTAAATTGTGGTCCTTGCCGAACGGTGAGCTGTCTTTAATTGAATGTGTGATATTATTAGGATAATTTTTTTATTTTAATTTTTTATATTATTTTTATATGTTATTAAATGAGTAAATATATTTAATATTATGAATTTTACATAATTAAAAGAACCAATTATTTTAATAATATGTCAAATTATAAAAAAAATAATTATTTCAATAACATTTCTGTAATTGAATAATGAATCAAACGATAAGGTATTCGAATTTAATAAGCTGTCATTTTATTATTGGATGGGAATACCACATCAGATGGTAATCCCCGTTGCATGGTAGACTTTCTCGTAGTGTGCAGCTGTATATTCAAAGGCTGGCTTGCTTCTAGCAAATGGTCCAAATCTAACAAATCCAATTACAAACCAATAAAAATAAAAGGACAAATAAAGGCATTTTAAAACATTTACTTCTATATTATAAAGAATATAATTAATATATTTTTTAATAAAGATTTGTTTAACAAGTATTTTAAGTCTTTATTAATTACATATTTTTACATTTAATTT